GCAACTGCGCAGGCAGCACACGTGACACTCGAGTGACAGCGCAGACAGCCCGCGCCAAAGTTTGCGAGACACTTGGCGACCAGTGTCCCAGACCACGCGACGCTCGGGCAACCATTGTCTCTAATAGCACGACACACGCACACAACGACCTGTCAGGACCCGCTGCAGTCCAAGTGCGCACCAGCGCGCACAAACCCACATCAGCGCGAACCAAACGAGCCACAACGAACTTGGATCACCTCAAGCAGCCCATAAGCAATGCAAACTGACCACCAATAGTGGTGCGATGCCCAAGGAGATGCGAGACGCAACTCAACTATCGTGAGACGCACGACCAAAGGCGAGGAGGACAATGAGGCGAGAAGGTCCACTCAAAACCATTTGTCCGGCCCAATATGTCGTGTATGCCTGTACAGTTTCATCAAAATTTTAAAACGTAAGTCCTCGATGATTTCACTTTGTTAGGATTTAATTCAATAGGATTAGGATGTGCACTTAGGCCGACTTTGTTCACAGAACCCAAAATAGAGCGGGTATGTGATATTTTTGATTTGGGTGGAGAAGGCTAGAATAGTAACCTCATCTTTAATGTCTTCACAGGTTATGAGGGTGAAGCTATTTTGGCCCTTAAAGGCCCCTCATTATGGTTCTTCTAACGAACTGACTCGGTTTAGAGACTTGAAATGGCTCTTTACTGTATAGTCTTTTTATTCTAAACTCATCTTGAAAAAGATGTATCTCTCTGATCACCCAGAAAACAGCCATACTTGTACCCTAAGGATGGTAATTAGATCTTGTAGCTAGATCTTGAAAGTGTCTTTTTTNCTGTGGAATGCTACTCAAATATCCTTTCTACAATTCTTCCCACTAGTGCAACCTTCAAAAGCGAGGATTAGAAATGGATATTGTCTGCTATTCTTGTAGAAAGCATTAAGAGACAGTGGAACACATTTTCTTTGAATCCCCAGGAGCCAAAGTTGTCTGGCACATGTATAATGGAAGGAACTCCATACAGTTCCCTGCTCATTCGAACATTGGTGGGGAAATTTATGTATGGCTGATAAGAGTCCAAGCCTAACGAAGAGGATGCAAAAAACCTCTTATCTTTTTGTGGTGGTTGTGGAAAATCAAGAACTTGTGGATTTTTTAAAAGCAATGGATCCCAGAGTGGGAAACTGTTGATACTGCAGTCAATGAGTTAAATGAATTCTGCATTGTCTCATTGGGCCCTTCAGTCTGATTCTCATTTTTCTTTGTTTTTTTTTTTTTTTNGTAAGGTATTTTTTACCAGTGCCACTGTGTTCTTTGTTCGTTGTTGGATTTTGTGGTGGTGAATTGTAAGCTTATGATTACCAACTTTGTTTCTTGGATACATCTTAGATTATCACCACCTTAGGTTGTTTTTTTCTCTTTCTCTGGGCCATATTTTTTGTATAGGTTTCTTCAATCAGCTTGGTGTGACAAGTTTGGGTCTTGTCCTGTTGGGTGTCGTTTGTAGAACTATGACTATGTTTGGTAAAACTACCTGATAGCTTATAAGCTAGCTCGTAGCTTATAAGTAATTTTTGAACTTATAGCTGAAAAGGTAACTTATATGATAAATTTTTTTGTTAAAATTAAGCTAGTTGAAATAAAAATTTCAACGAGCTTATTTGACAAGTTATTCAAAGAAGCTTATAAGATAAGTTTGAGCTTTATAAAAAAGTTCATCCTACTAAACGAAGATTATTTAAATACAGAAAGCTTATAAGTTAACCAAATAAACTATAAACTGACTCATTTGGTTACCAAACATAGTATATGTCTCAGGTGAGTTCTTTTATTTTTTCTTAGATTATTTTGAGGGGGAAAAAAAGGAAAAAGAAGGCATTGTCTTTCCCGTCTATAGTAATATAATAATATTTTGAAAAAATACATTTATTGTAAGTTTGACAAAAAAAAAGTTTGACTTATTATTAGGGGTAGATGAAATAAAAAAATGTTAGTATATATATATATATATATATATATATAAATTGATAGAGTGCGTAAAGGACTTATGCGATTGTAGCAGACCATTCATTCTTTTTATTCTTTTTTCCAAAACGATAGAGATATTATATAACAAGCACAAATGTGCAAAAGGTCAGCCACCAGCTGAATACAAACAGCTAACAGCTAAATACAAGTAGCCAACAGCTGAAAAAGTAGGAGGACAGGTCAAAAGACCGCCTAGATAACCGACCCAACAGGGTAAAACAAAGACCCCAACAGGGTAAAACACAAGCACAACTAACAAACTACATAGACCCCAATAGAGTAATGCCCAAGTGTCGGATCCCAACAGAATAATAATGTGACACTCGGGCAAGCTGAGGCCAACGTCCCAGACCAAAAATACAACGACCACACAACCTAAATAACCAACTAAAACACAGATCTACCAAACAAAACAAAACAAAAGCAACAAAACTAATCGAGCCCTTCCAAAGTAGCAACACCGAACCGAACCAGCGGAAACAAAGCGATGGTGAATCCCCGCAGCCAGATGTATCGACCCCGAAACTGCTCAAAACCACTCGGTTGCCTAACGGTGTCGAAACCCTAACCCCGGAACAGCACCAAGCCACCCTGTACCAGGCCCGCAACATCAGATTGCCCCGAAACGGACAAAGGTGCCACGACCCCAGCCCCAACCCCAAACCGCCTGGAAGCTGCCCACAGCCACCACACCGCCGCATCCCCACTCCGACCAACACCACTGGCAGAGAAAGGAACTCGACGACCCCTGCGCCTCAAAAGCCGAGAACAGCGGGGAGACGATGTCGAACCGCAGCCATGCCCCAATCGCCCAACCAATTAGGTCGCCGAGCAATTGAGGCGCATCCCACCCCCAAAACCGCTCCACGGCTCCACCACCGCCCAATTGTATATATGTATATACAATTGGGCGGAAAAGACGAGTTTCGATCGCAACAGACGAGGCCTAGCACCATGGAAGACAGGTAGCAGAGCAGAAAATAAGGGGGGAGCCAAACGGCCAAGGGCCGGCGACCGTCGACAAAGCTAGATGGCGACTGTGGAAGGCCGGCGGCTTGAAATCGGAGCGAACGAGACAAAAGAGATTTGGGGGCAAGGGTTTTTAGAGAGAGAGATCAGTTTACTCCTGTATTTGGAAGTTTTGAAAACAAAATAAGTGGTTTGAATTTTATTTGGTATGAGTGTGAAAATTCGAATTTTAGGTTGATTTGATATAAGATCAAAGTGATACAATTCTTAAATTTTAGCATATTCTCATGATAACTTGATATAAGATATTGATGATAATTTGGTAAATTGATATGTATTTTGTTTGAAAATCAGAAAGATCTTTGAACAAATATTGATTAATTGAATTTAAAATTTTTAATTTAATTCTAGAGAATTAGTTGATAAATTTGAATGATAAGCTAAACAACAACAAATCTAAAACATTGCGAGATAATATCTCCATATATATAAGAAAATTTATTGTATAGTCCAAATTTGAGTTCTAAATTTAAAAATCCAATGCTTAATTAATAATAACTTACAGGTCAATATTAGCTTTGGAATAAGTGGAATAGTCAATTATTTATTGTTAAATAAATTCTCAACTACTTAATTTTTTTTTATTTGAATAGTTTATACAACAATAATTTATTTTAATTAATGAAACAATATAAGTTTTATAATTATACTTATTATTCACATAGATTTTTAGATATATGATAAGTTTTTACCAAAATATTTATTTTATAGAATCACAATATAGTCAAATGGTATTTTTAAACAGAAACTTTAAAATGACACTTATTTTTAAATAAATATAATGTAATCTATTATTAGTTACGTGCGTCTTACGAGTTGTATATTAATTTTAAATAAACATGTTTTATGTATTTTTTGCGATTTAAATTTTATATAACATTTTTAACAAACTAATATAGTTAAATTGTATATTTATTCTATTTTTATAATTCATAAAAATTATTTAATGAACATTTTTAATTTATAAATATTAATAAATATTTTTTACCCACATCACTAGGGATGTCAATAAAACCCGCAGGGTCGGGTTACCCACGGGTTACCCGCATTTTTGGGTCGGGTAAACCCGGTATGATCGGGTTTCGGGTCGGATTCGGGTAGAATCATGCTACCCGAACGCCGGGTCGGGTCGGGTTCGGGTATGGTATAAAAACCCATTATCTGACCCGATTACCCTACCCGTTTACCCGCAACATTGAATCACATGATATATATACACACACACACACACATATATATATATATATATATGTATATATGTCATATGAAAAATATAAATTTAAATTATTTCTTATAATTTTGGTTAATGGTTTAAATATTATTTTATTTTTTTGGTTTTTTTATCGAATTTTTATTTTAGTTGTACAATATAAAATTTAAATATTTAATTTTTAAATGTTATATTATTAACTAGACTATAAAAATTAAATAATTATATCTCAATATTTATTCCAAATCCAATATAGAATTTTTTTACAGTCATTTTATTGTCAACTTAGTTAATAAGTTGTTTTAGTTACTTTATATTTAATTGTGAAATTATTTTATTTATTTTTTATACATGAAACGGGTCAGGTCGGGTTGAAATGGGACCGGGTAAAACCCAAATATAAGAAATCGGGTTACCCGTTTACCCAATGAAGACTTGATAACCCGTTGGGTAAAACCCAACCCGAACCCAAAGTTCACTTACCGGGTAACGGGTGGAGTACGGGTTGGGTAAATTGTATGCGGGTCGGGTTCGGATTTGCCGAAACACCCGACCCGACCCATTTACATCCCTACACATCACAGGATTCGTACTCATTCCAAAAAAATCTTAAAGAAAAGGGAAACTAGAACAAGCACGCACTGCCATGTCACCCATATGTTGCGCTGTGCTGTCCAATAGCGTTCTACCACGTCATCACACCACAGTGCACCATAAAAATTTGTTTTTATCTTTAAACCCAGAGTCAGTAATCAGTCAAAAGTGCATAATCCTGAACGGGAGAGAATCCCAACCAACCCGCAGACGTTTTTCATCATCTCGTCTGCCGTGGCCCGAAAACCGATATAATATAGGTATGGAGAGGACGCGAGGAACTATCCGGTGCGGGCTGGTCCCGTACGCCGTCCCCGTGCTCCTGTTGTTGATGATGGGTAGCTGCGTACAAGGGCTCACGGTGACTGTGGAGAAGGAGGAGTGCGTTTTCGACTACGTTTTCTACGACAGCGACACCGTTTCCGGCAACTTCGTCGTCGTCGATCACGAGCTCTATTGGAACTCCGACCATTCCGGCATTGATTTCACTGTATTCAAATCCTCTCTCTCTCTCTATAAATATATTTTCGTGATTGCGTGTGTGTGTTTGAGAGTTGTTTGGGAATTGTGAGTGGATTTGTTTGTGCCGTGGATTAATTTTTTTGCCCTATATTTTTTATGTTCTCTTTAATCATGTATCTCCTGATACCTGATTTGTTTTTTGTACTTCTTGTTTCTGCCTCTATTTATATGAATGAAAGTTATTCTCTGTGGGGTACAAAGGTGCATTTTTAAAATTGTGATCTTGGAAGACTTAAATAAGATGTAGATTTCGAAATTCGTTTCTGTTTCCTTTTTCGGGCAATAAAACCCATAGTGTTCTGAAAGAGTAAAAGAATAAGGCAATGCTTCTTTAATCTTTAGAAAGAATGAAAATAGATGATCATTCTTGTTTGACTTGAATTGTAGCTTATGCTTCTCATAATCGGCACTGAAAATGTATAGATTGATTGCTTAATTTAGTCGACCCTTTTCTAATTGGGTGTTGGTTCATTCCATTTGGTGCAGGTGACATCTCCTGGAGGCAGTATAGTACACACCTTGAAGGGAACCTCGGGGGACAAATTCGAGTTCAAGGCACCTTCAAGTGGGATGTACAAATTCTGTTTTCATAATCCTTATTCGGTGCCCGAGTCTGTCTCTTTCAGCATTCACACTGGGCATATTCCTAACGAACACGACCTGGCCAAGGATGGTTCGTCGAACCTTTCGTTATCGTCTAAAATACGCATTTTTTTGTCTCAGCCTTGATAAATTGCTTTAACTTGGCATGTGACAGTATTTTTTTTTTTTCCTTACCTTTTTAAAAGCATTTTTTATGTTTACAGAACATTTGGACCCCATTAATGTAAGGATTGCCGAGCTGAGGGAGAAACTAGAATATGTTACGCTCGAGCAAAAATATCTGAAAGCGCGGGATCTTAGCCATCGTCGTAGTAAGACCACTTTTAATCTCTTTTATTATTTTCTTTTCTCGATGAATGTTATGCCAAATTACATGTAACTTTGAGAAGCCTTTGCATACAGTCAACTGCGCGCCTAAATTAATCTCTGTTAATTTGCCTTGTACCATGAATGCTGTTTTATAGGCTTTCAGAATGCTGTGTTGTTCACTTAATAAAATAATACATGCTTGGTTAATATCACTTTGATTAGTGATGTCGTATAACTTAACATCGAAAATAGCAGAATCATGAATCGAGTTCAGTATTGGGGTTTGCATCTTATCCACCTAAATAGGGATGCAATTTCTAGGATAGAAATACCTATCATTACCGTATTTATCATCTTCCAAGGTAATCAATCCTTTACTTGTTAGCTACATGTGTGTGTTCTTAATGCAGCAAACCAGAGCACAAGAAAGCGCGTCATATTCTACACAGTTGGGGAATACCTTCTGCTGGTTGTTGCGAGTGGGCTTCAAGTTGTGTACGTACGTCGTTTGTTTAGCAAGTCGGTTGCATATAACCGTGTCTAACAGCATTGTTTGGAGTAAATTCAAGAAGAAATATACATGACTTTTGTGTGGGACCTCCGATTGTTGGTGGTGGTTTTGTTCCATAGTCACAGTAAAAGAAAACTATATACTCCAACTTAGGGAGTTCGTGAATAACAAAAATAAAACGGTTGCTTCTAAGCCTTTTGCCTTGTTGTAAAACAGAATTCTAATGAAATATGACCAACAGAGGTTTTGGGTTATTGAAAGGTGATGCAATGTGTGTTTTCATTTATAATGAATGACGGGCACGCGTATATATCAATGGTCGTGCTCCAGTGAAAATAGTGTTTAATGAAAGAAAAATAATATATTTTAGCTACAAAATTTGATCATCCAACGGCCAAAAAAATTGCCAACATTTTACAGCCATTAAGAGTAATTTGGACATTACATTAATAACCACCATCCACATGTGGGACCCACCCCAACCCACCATGCACTCTCTCACTGGCCCCACTCACCATCCACTATCTCACACACACAAAATACACACACTACACACCTCCACAAACACCGCCAATTAGGTCCCACTGCCTCCTGCCGTCGCCCCGAAACCCGTTGCAGATCCCACAATCACCATTAACGCCTCAATGGAGTCGCCATTATTCTGTGAGAAAATCACAGAGGCGTCGTCCATAGAGTCAGGTGCCGCCACCGCCTTGAAGACCTTTGTCTTCGCGTCCTAGAATGACATTTTTTTTTTTTATTTCGGAATTCCACGAGACCAAGCCCCCTCGCGACTGCGGCCGTGTGTTAGGCCTCGATAACCCTTGTCATGAGTCGTCCTCCGGCGATTGCTGTGAGGTCTCTCCAATCGGTTATGACGGTTCTCGTCGTCCTATCTACTGGGATGTCGTCTCCGATCTGTTCTCCCCTGCAGCGGTGTCGTCACCCAACGTGCAATTTCTCATATCACTTGATCCCTGGCGCTGACGATGGTGATATTCAAGAGGATATTTTGGACATGGGTGAACTTTCTAAAATTAGATAACTGTCAGGGATCTATTTTCAATTTTAGAATTTTTGTTTATATTGCAATTAGTTCATGTAGTAAATTTGTAACTTATAAGAAATTTAATAAATGCACATTAATGATAAGTAAATGCACAATATGTGTATGGATGTGCATATTAAAAATATATGTGATGCAGAATGCACAATAGTGTAAGGCTAAACGCATATTAATACATTCGAGAATGCACATTTGATGTAGAGGATGTATACGAAAGGGAATAAGAACACAAGAACAATTCACTGTTTTCTCAAAATGATAATACGATGCATGAGATTTCTGTTCACTGCGTGGATACAAATAAGAAGAGTCCACTACTCTTTAACTTCCTAAAATAACTGCCTTATTAAATAATTAACTGGCCCACTAATAGAAATAACAAAACTAAAAATGATAATGAATAAAAATCCGACAAATGAAAAAGACCAGGAAAATAAATAATCTAAACTCGGAGACGGTCATATTTCTGTAGAAACGCTAACGCGGCCTCGTCTCCATCATCCTCCCCGAGTTGAAAAGGATTCGCCCTCGAATTCGAATGGGCCTCGTCTTCGTCTGAGTTGTCGCCCGCGAACGGCACCAAATGCTTGACATTAAAAACATCCGATGTGCGAATATGCGACGAGAGCCTGAGACAGTATGCATTGGGATTGATCTTTTCCACAACCTCGACCGGACCAATTTTCCGGGCAGACAGTTTGTTATACTCATGAGCAGAAAATCGGTCCTTAGTCAAAACAACCCAAACAAAATCACCTACCTCGAACTCCACGTGACGACGATGAGTATCAGTCTGCTTCTTATAAGAAGCTGTAGCCGCCTCCAAACGGGCCCGAGCCGCCGCATGTGTCTGCTGCACGTTGGTGATGAAATCGAACGCACGACGATCCCCACTGGAGTCGGACGACAACGTCACCAAGGCAGAGGGCCCACGCGGATGCATGCCGTACACCACCTGAAAAGGCGAGAACCCAGTCGCATGGCTGATTGCCGAATTATGTGCGAACTCCGCTTGACTCAGACGCTGATCCCAACTTCGAATATTATCTTCCACCAAACAACGAAGCAGGTTCCCTAAGGAGCGATTGACAACCTCTGTCTGACCGTCCGTCTGAGGATGATAGGCACTACTGAAGTCGAGTCGTGTATCAGCCATGCGCCACAAACTCTGCCAAAAATAACTCAAAAAGCGGGTATTGCGATCAGAAATAATCGCCGAAGGCAAGCCGTGAAGACGGTAGATCTCTCTGAAAAACAATTGGGCCACATGAACAGCATCAGAGGTACGTTTACAAGGAATGAAGTGTGCCATCTTCGAAAAATGGTCCACCACCACAACAATAGAATCAAATCCCCGCTGTGTCCGAGGCAAACCCACCACGAAATCCATGTTGATGGCCTGCCACGGTTGCGATGGGATAGGTAGGGGTCGGTACAAACCGGCATTAGTCGCAACCCCCTTCGACACCTGGCAGATATGACAGCGAGACACAAACCTCCCAACATCACGACGCAGAGACGGCAAAAAATAAGAACGACTCACCAACTCGATGGACCTATTGCGTCCCACGTGGCCGGTGCCATGCAGATCGACAATAAGCTTCAGCCGCAAACTGCAGTCCGGAACACACAAACGAACCCCTCGAAACAAAAACCCCTCAGATAACGTATAGTCCTCAAAAGGGTCGTCCCCTAAACGGGTCACAATAGGCCCAAAGAAAGGGTCAGCAGGATAGACATCACGAAGTACCTCAAAGCCAATCACCGACACTCGCATCTCGGACAACAACAGGACACGACGGCTCAAAGCATCAGCCACTTTGTTCGAAGTGCCCGACCGGTGCTGAAGGGCAAACGTGAACTGCTGAAGGAAGGCTGTCCACGAAGCATGGCGCGCCGAGATATTATCCTGTGAGGCAAGATGGCGCAGGGCTTCGTGATCGGTTTACAAAACGAACTCCCAGTGAAAAATATAGTGTCGCCAATGCCGCACAGCACGCACCACAGCATAAAACTCAGCATCATACGTGCTATATCGTGACCTGGGGCCCGACAACTTCTCACTTAAGAAAAAAACTGGACGTCCGTCTTGGCTAAGAACAGCACCGATGTCGACCTTTGATGCGTCGCACGAAAGCTCAAATGGTCGTGAGAAGTCATGTAGAACTAGAACGGGTGCAGATGTCAATTTTCTCTTGATGAGAGCAAAGGCCCCCTCCGCTGCCTCTGTCCAGATAAAAGCCTTCCCCATGAGACAGTCGGTGATCGGAGCCATTATGGAGCTGAAGTGGGAAATGAATCGTCGATAGAACGAAGCTAAGCCATGAAAGCTGCGTGCCTCAGTGACAGTCATCGGTGTAGGCCAGTCGCGAATGGCCTCCACTTTGCTGTCATCCACACGTATCCTGGTAGCTGAGATCACGAATCCCAAAAATAGAACTGAGTCCACCATGAAAAGACACTTCTTCGGGGCCGCATAAAAGGACTCTGCTCGAAGAATAAGCAAAACCTCCCGAACGTGCGCCACATGCTCCTCCACTGTGCGACTATAAATAAGGATGTCGTCGAAATAAACGACGACACCTGCCAATAAGGTCCCGAAAAGTCTGATTCATGATCCGCATAAAGGTACTCGGAGCATTGGAAAGGCCAAAAGGCATGACCATCCACTCAAAAAGGCCTTCTCGAATCTTAAAGGCCGTTTTCTACTCATCTCCTGGCCTAATTCGAATCTGGTGGTACCCACTATGAAGATCCAGTTTGGTGAAGACAGTGGCACCGTGCAACTGGTCAAGCAGGTAATCTAAACGAGGAATAGGAAAGCGATACCTGACAGTAATCTTGTTGATGGCCCGACTGTCTACGAACATACGCCAAGCTCCGTCCTTCTTCGGGATTAACAAGGCCGGTACTGCACATGGACTCAGACTCCGGCGAACAACACCACGCTGGAGGAGCTCCTCGATTTGCAGCCGCAGCTCCTCGTGTTCTACCGGGCTCATCCGATAGTGGGGACGGTTCGACAATGAAGCCCCCAAAATCAGGTCAATCTGATTCTGAATATCCCGAAGTGGTGGCAACCCGGAAGGAAGCTCCGAGGGAAAAACATCAGCAAACTCTGAAAGCAAAGACTGAATAGCCACGGGCGGTTCCTGGTCCTCCTGAGCGTCCGACCCAATCACCAAAAGAACAAACGGTGCCGCCTGCATCTCAATCCCAAATGCTGCCCGAGAAAGAAAAAGGACAGTCGAAGAACCGGAAGGTGGCGAAGGATGTATAGGACTCGGATGCAATGTAATCCGAGCACCGGCAAAAGTGAAGTTATAAGTGTTACATCTGCAGTCGAGAGTAGCAGCGATGTCATACTGCCATGGTCTACCGAGCAACAAGTGGCATGCATCCATAGGTACTACATCGCACCACACTTGGTCCCGGTACGTCGCCCCAATAGATAATGAAACAAGAGCCCGACGGTTCACAGTAATCGCACGGTCACGGTGAATCCAGGCCAACTTGTAAGGGTTAGGATGTGGCTCACTCGAAAGTTTCAACTTGTCCACCGCTTCTTGTGATATAACATTTTCAGACGAACCAGAATCAATAATAAAGCGACATACCTTGTTGTCAATAGTGCAAGTGGACTCAAAAATTTGATGACGTTCAACAGGCTCATCAATGGAAGAACGAGGTGTCAAACACACTCTACGAAGGACCAGTGCCGAGCCCATATCCCCACTATGATGTTCCTCGCTCAACCCGGGCTCAGAATCAAAAACAGACGGGCCATCGTAATCTGCCGGCACCTCATGTTCGCCACCATCCTCCATAAATAACCCACGAGAGGTCGAACACTATGGACATGCCGATTGGCGATGGCCGAACTCGCCGCACCCAAAGCACCGCAGACCGCCCCCCGTACGCTGCCTTGTCGCCGCTGGCGGCGGCCCACTCACCCCCGGCTGCCGCTGTGGTCCGGTCCAAGCCCCGAAGATGGGAAAAATCGGCCCTGTTGTTGGACCCCACCGGTAGATGGTCCTGCCCGTGTGGTAGAGGGAAAACTCGAGCCCGTTTTCCGAGCTAGCTGTTGCTCGACAAGCCGGGCTCGTTGATGTGCATCCGAAACAGACTCCGGTCGTACAAGATTTAACATGTCCTGTATGACAACTCGCAACCCACTAACATACCGTGAAATCAACTGGGTCTTTGTCTCCCGTACCTCAACACGATTCAACAGTTGATAAAATTCCTTCGTATAGTCATCAACCGAACGAGTTCCCTGTCTTAAGTTATGTAGCTGTTGATAT